CCGAGGCGCCGCCAGCCGACGTTGTCTAGCTGAACCGGCCCACAGAGGAGAACTACAATGCTAACCCGGCCCTCAAATCCAGTTTGACACCCCCTGCCCTACACTGTTTCTGACAGAGGGCAGCCCAGTCTCTTCTTGAAAGCCTCCAGTGATGAAGCTCCCACAACTTCTGAAGGCAACTTCTGTTCCATGGGTTGATTGCTCTCACTGTCAGAGAATTCCTCCTTATTTCTACGTTGAATCTCTCCTTGGTCAGTTTCCATCCATTGTTCCTTGCCTGGCCTTCAGGTGCCTTGGAAAACAGCTTGACTCCCTCTTTGTGGCATCCCATCCCTGAGATATTGGAAGGCTGCTATCATGTCCCCCCATGTCCTTCTTTTCATTAAACTAGCCAAGCCCAGTTCCTGCAACCGTCCATCGTATGTTTTAGCCTCCAGTCCTTTCATCATCCAAGTTGCTCTCCTCTGTACTCTTTCTAGAGTCTCAATGTCTTTTTTTACAGTGTGGTGACCAAAACTGGAAGCAGGACTCTAGGTGTGGCCTTACGAGGGCTTTATAGAGTGGTATAATTAGTACCTCACTTGATCTTGATTGTATCCCTCTGTTAAAGCAACTTAGGATTGCATTGGCTTTTTGGCGACCGCCGCACAGGACTGGCTCCTATTTAGCTGGTTGTCCACTAAGTCTCCAAGATCCCTCTCAGGGTCACTGCTATTAAGTCTGGTTTCACCCATCTTATATGTGGATGTTTGGTTTTTCAGTGTAAGACTTTACTTTTCTCTACGTTGAATTTCTACATTGATTCTTGTAGTCAGCCAGAGGACTCACTTCTCCCTCCTGGGGGGCACAGGGGTTGCCTGAACCGCTGCCAGGGGGCACTTCAATGGTGGCAGTCTTGCATGTGAACCCATGCCAGGCATAGTGGCTAACATGCCAGGCCTGCATTTTCCACCCAGACCAGAGGTCCCTTCGGAACAGGAATTGAAGCAGCCCAAGGTTTTTCTCTCTCTTCCCCCCAGCTCTGCCCACCAATGAAAAGCTTCCCCCTCACCCCTCCAGGGCTCTTGCCAAGGGAATCTGATATACCTGGAGTCCAAGGGCAGCTTTTTCCAATTCCAAAATAAGACTGGGATGTGTTGTGGCTCCAGGGGAGAACAAACGACACCTAAAAATGTAATGTAATAAATAGATACCCAGGTAGTGTGAAGTTCTGGTTAAGAGTCCTCTGTAATTGTCCTGTTTGCTTTCATTCCTGGCCAGAAGCAGGAAGTTGGGCTAGTGGGTAGTGGAAGTGGTTGGCATACATTTTTAGGTGTTTATGTCCTGCCTTTACTGTTTCTATAATTAACTCGAGGAGGTTGAGCCTCTCCAACAAGCTTTCTTTCTCCAATTTCCCCCCAAGAGAGGGGGACTGGCCCAAAGTCACCCAGCTGGATTTCAGGGCTAAGGCGGAACTAGAATTCACCATCTCCTGGTTTCTAACCTGGGGCTTTCTCTACTAGATCTAACTGGCTCTCTCATACTCCAGTTGCTGATTTATTTACTGAGTTGGAAGCACACAGTGGCCTGATTTCTGATTTCCATCATATATGCCAATCGTGGAGTTTCACTGTCATCAGATATGGAGATAACCAGCAATCCGTAAGCGGTCAAACCAAGACAGATTTCAGTATTGGAGTAGATATAATAACGAAGAAAAGGACAGGAGACACCTCAGGCAACCCTAGATTAAAAAGTGAATTCTTTTATTTATTTGCTTAACACATCTCAAGAAAGGCTCTTGGTCGCTCAGACAGAACAGACACAAATTAAAACATCTGTTGACGGGAATAAAATAACCGCAAACACAATAAGCAACACACCACCAAACTCCTTTTTATGAATTTGTAATCCCTTAATTCAGGGTAGAATACAAATAAAAAAATGAAAGCACTTTTTTTTTCCTTTTTAAAAAGTCCTTTGTGCCAAATGGGATTTCAACAATTGGAAGTTTTTTTCTATTCCCCAAGATTTTTATAAATTTATACAGCCGCCCATCTGTTATAAATAGAATAGAATAGAGTTCTTTACTGGGCATGTGTGATTGGACACCCAAGGAATTTGTCTTTGGTGCAGATGCCCTCAGTGGACATAAAGAAAATAAAATAGAATACAGTCATCAAGAATCAGAAGATAAAACAATGATAGTCATAGGTAACTAAAGCAATCAAATTATACTAGGAAACAAATAAAACAGCATAAATTGTAAAGATACAAGCAACATGGTTATAGTCATAAGTGGGCAGAGA